GCCCCAAAAACTACTGTGGTGATCTATAGTGAGAGCGCCATCTATAGTATGGAGTTGGAATAACTTTGTTTATGAATAAGTCTGTGCGTCCCTGTGTCGGTCAGTCAAATTGTTTCCGTCTGTGTGGGCAGGTCGATTCTCCTGTTAAATTGACTGAATTCCTTCCAAAGACTAAAGTGGTTATGGATGTTGTGGAACGCTTGAGACAGACGAAATCGTATTTGCATGGAATTTAGTGACTGGCAGAAGTCTTTTCCAAAAGTTGTGGTTGTGTGGATTGACCGCAGAGGTTGCAGTCTGCTGTTGCCATAGTGTTGAATGAAACCGTGGTTGAACCTAGCTGCAGTTCTGTAGCTCACTTGGTTTCGCTGTCGGTTATTTTGTTCGTTGTGGTGTTAACGCGAAACCATGGAGCTACAGTTCCATCCTTTGCGAGTTACCCTATTTTACCAAATTGGAATCAGATCGGGTTGTAACAGCCGTTTTTTTTTCATTATTTTCCCCATAAGTTTCTACCTTTCTACTGTTGATGGATCCCGAAACTATTTCATCAATTATTTTGAGGGCGATGGTCTGAAATTGATCGATTTCAAGACGAAAACCACGGAAAACTACAGTGAAATCCCCGTGTTTGCCGTCATCTTGAATAAGTCATCGTGATGCCACGAGGCATCATAGTTTTCCTATTTCACGCGGTCGTCAAAATAATTGATGAAATAGTTTCAGGACCCATCGACAGTAGAAAGGTAGAAACTTAAGGCAAAAATAATGAAAAAAAAACGGCTGTTACGACCCAACCTGATTTCAGTTCAGACGAATTTAAAATGGTCATTTTTGGTCAAAAATTCTATTTTTGACTTCTTCTTCAAAACCGGTAGCCTGAATGCTTTGATACTTGGTGTGTACCTTGTCATTTTTGGTTAAAATGGAATTTCAACTAACCACTATTTCCAATGCTTTGGTGTTAGGCATACATGTGTTTATTATTCCATTGACCGTTTTGTGTGGTTGTTTGGCGATATTTCATTTGAAAGTACAAATTTAAACGAAAAGTTGTGGCATATACAGCACCAATCTTTTATACAATAGCCATCGAGCAACAGGCCATTGACCTATTTTTTGTATCATGGTCATGCTTGCAGCTGCATGTCTGCTGCATTTTTTTCAACAAACAAAAATGTCTGACTAACGGCCATATTGTATTTGTTCATGTCCAAGTATAATTCTTGATTTTAGTTGAAAACATACGGTTACACTGGAAGTTGTTTTGTTTTGTGATTTGATGAAATTTGTTGAATTAACAGGCATTTCAAATTTGTATTTTTCAGCCAAAGGTTGTGACTGAAGTTGATGAAATTGAACTATCTAAACATTTGGAGAGATTAGAACAAGCAAATCGTGAGGTTGCCGGGGATGACAGTGCAGATGAAGAGATAGCTGAAGATGCAGATGATTAAATAATAATATAACAAAATGTGATAAAATACTATGATACTTCCTGGGTGGAGTATATGTCATCGCTATAACTATACCATAAAATTCTGACTTTTAACTGTCCAGGTTCGATGTATTATTCTGTTCAAAAATGTTGCTTTTTGATAAATAATCTTTAGTTTGAAACAAACTTGCTCAGCTGTGGGGATGAAATTGTTTCTTAGTTTTATCCCATTTACTTATTTATCACTCATTTTAGTTGGAGTATTGTGAGAGAATTTTGCAATGTGGATATTTTGGAGCAGAGAATTCTCCCCTAAGTTCCCTCTACATAACCTGCTATTGAATCACATTTGAGACCGAAACAAAGTTTTTCTAACAACTTCAATCTGATCCTCGGGTGCATATAATTATTAGCAGAAATTTATAAAATGAAAGTATGCAAGTGATGTGATGAAGATTTCGCGCAAATTGTGAGAGGATCTTGCATGAATTGTAAGATAATCACAAAATCCACGAGAAATATACATTTTTAGAAATAGTGATTCCTATAAGAAAGAACTGGTCAGTGTTCATCTCAGACTGTTTTTCTATCGTCCTTAGTTATTCACAAAGTATGTATTATGTATTTATAAATACAATTGCACACATCTTTTGTGTTATTGTGTGATACTTAAAATACATTAGAATATCACAAGATTAATTCTTGTGAGGTCTTTGCATATTACCTGCTGTACAACAAATATTGGCCGTTGCGTATTCTTATCATATAAATTTTTTTTTAAGGCATAATGTATATTACATTGTATTTTATTCAAACACCTGTCAATGTATCGCTACGAGTCACAGCATGCTTTATTTCTTGTGGTATATCGTAATAGGAAATGAGAATCCCAATATACCGGAGTACAGTATAGGATCCATTTCCAAAATATCAGGCGCTTTTGAAAATGGAGTGAGGAATAATTTTCACAATTTCCTACATCAATGGATTGGTTTGGGAAAATGTATAATCAGGTTATTACAAGGATACCAAATGGTAAAAGTCACATTGACCTTTGCTATGCATGGGCCGATACATTTTCAAGCATACTTTGTGGCATCCTTGTAAATAACGTTATATTAATAAAATTTCTAAGGATGAGAAAGGTGCAGTTATTTTTACATGTAACCTCATAAGTCGTTAACCCCCCCCCCCCCCCATGAATAAATAAACTCGATGAATTTATCAAAGTTTGTTGGTTCTGTGATAACGTAAAATCGCACCTAAGTTTTCTTTATCTACCTGTAACTTTGTTTTATTTAGGGACTGATCATTTTCTTTGGCGGGGGTGGGTGCTGGGGAATCCGATTTCACTAAAGTATGAAAAGACCCCCCTCCCCAAGCAAAACACAAAAACAGGATGACCCCCCCCTCTCATCATCTAGAAATACAGTGCCCCTAAGAATTTTGATTTATATTATAATTGTAGCTTCGTAGTGAGTAGCTTTTGTGTAGTGAGTAGGGCTTTGTCGCAGTAACTGATCCTTTCATCGGATTTGAGAATTAATGTCATTAACAGCTGGTGTTAATCTGGGAATACCATCCTTAGGAGCTGTCAATTTGTCCTTATGTTTTGTGCAGTTGCTCTGGCTAAATCAAACCCATGCTCTCATATTATCACTACCATCACCTAGTTTCTTACTTCGACCAAGAAACATTTAACAATTTATAGAATGGGCTTTGCATCATTCATTCTTGTTATACTGCTTTAATGACATACTGTAAGTATTAGTGTTCTAGAAAGATAGTTGAATATTGTTTATGGAAATTAATAATCCACAGAAAAAAATGATGAAACTTGGTGCATAGATGCTCTGGGCCAATGCAGATTTGATTAGGTTTTGGTAAAAATCCATGCATATTAATTACCTAATTTGCATGATAATTGGCTAATTTTTGGCTGTTCCACTGATATCTAAAAACCACAAATTGGATTTTGATGAAACTTGGTACATAGATGCTCTGAACTTATGCACAGATTTGATTAGTTTTTGGTAAAAACCTGTCAATATTAATTACCTAATTTGCATAATGATTAATCAATTTTTGGCTTTTCCACTGATACCTAAGTACTAATCATCACATTTCAATGAAACTTGGTACATAGTTAAGGACTGTGCAGACCCCTGATTAGTTTTTGGGTAAATATTTGTGCATATTAATTACATTAATTTTCAGTTTTTTGCCTGATAATTCAAGTACTAATCGCATTTCAATGAGACTTGCTACATAGATCTTCTAGGACTATGCAGAGACCTGATTAGTTTTAGGGTACATAATTGTAGATATTAATTACCTAATTTGCATAATTAGTTATTTTTTTCCCATGAATGTTCCACTGATATATAACGAACCATGAATTGGATTTTAATGAAACTTTTAAAGCGTACTCATTAAATAAGTGAGTTCATAGCTTGCACTATTGCAGAACACGTCGAAATAGCTACATGACATTTTAGCGAATTTGATTCAATGCATGAATTAATTGAATCTTAATTTGAGACATCTTGAATTAGCGAAATTACAGATTAGCTAAAAAGACACGTTTTACAGTATGTTCTTGCATATTACTTGAAAATAAATATGTATTTGTTATTTCTTCCTTTGCATGGAAGACAACTCAGTAACATATTTAAATAAATGTGAATTTCTTTAAAAAAAAATCTTTTTTTTCTTTTACTGGTGTTTATGTACACGTTTGACCTGCTATGAAAGGTCACACATCCATGCACTGTAGATCCCAATTTCATTTAACTTCCTCTGTCAGCCACAAATAAGACCCCCCCCCCCCCTAAAAAAAAAAACATATACTCAGTCAAGGATGACATCAGAATAAATTAAATGATAAAAAGAATGACATTTCATTTTTTTATTCAAGAGATTTACTTTACAAATATGATCACATTCCTTGAAGGTTATAGATGGAAAGCAAAACATTGAAATAAAAGTTTACAAAGTAAATAATGTTTATTTATATAAAGACCAAAATGGCTGCCAGTTGGCCATATTGGATTACAAATTCCAACAAATGAAAATTAACGTATTCTGTTTCTACCA